TCAGTAAACGGAAAGTCGACAACACCGGCAAAATGATCTGTAGTAATATTCGTTACAGTCTTCAGTTTATGTTTCACGTGACTATTCGCCAAAAGAAATACAGGAAAGTGGTCAGTAAACGGAAAGTCGACAACACCGGCAAAATGATCTGTAGTAATATTCGTTAGAATGCGGTCAATAAGAGTGCTGGAACCACCAGGAACACTATGTGTGGAAGTGGTAATTGAACACTCAAGCCCATTTCCTTGAAAGCATTTTATATATTCCGAGCATGAGTCTGAAATATCAGCAATATTTATATTGATGTCGCCCATGATTTATTTATTTATTTTATTTAAAAATACTGCCAATCCCTTGTCGGGATTTTCGCAGAAAGGACATCGGGAAAACACACAATAAAAGCACACAATAAAAACATCCGTAAGTTATACATCGTTTAGGATACGCGTTACATTGATGCTACCAAGTTCTCACAATTTCTAACAATCAAATTCAAACAAATTCTAACCAAATTCTAACAACAAAGTTCTAACAGTAATTGTATTATCTCCAAATGATTACAGTGTGGAAGAGTCAAAATAACACAGTCTAAAACAATGGATTTTGCAAAGATGACCACAATAGCGCAATATTAGGGTTCCAAACGCAAATGTTCTTCAACAAGACGTGAAAAAATATTTAAAGAATTGCTGCTAGTAATCATAGCTGCTAAGCTGTTCCATTCCCTTATTGATGCTGGGAAGAATGAGTGTTTGAAACATTCCGTACGGAATGCGTATTCTTGTAGCATTTCGGGGTGCTTCTTACGGGTGGGTCGTGATTGTTGAAGTGTAATGTACCTGGAGGCATCGATGTTGGTTTACTTATGGCGTAGCTGGTACATGAATCGTAGGCGTGCTAGTCTTGCTCGTTTTTGCAGCGTTAGCATGCCCGCTTTTTCGAGCATTTCAGTTGGTGAGTCTGTTTGCCTAAACTTGTTAAAGATAAATCGAACAGCTTTTCTTTGCACGCCTTCTAGCTTCGCAATATGTTTTTTTGTGTACGGGAACCAAACAATGTTCGCATATTCAAGAACAGATCTCACGTACGTGTTGTAGGCTAACAGTTTAATTTCAGAAGGTGCTAGTCGAAGGCATCGTCTCAGAAAAAAAAGTCGTTTCAGTGCGGTAGCTGTAACGTTAGAAATGATGATTATATTCTTATGTTCGTTGTTAACTCGAGTGAGCGTTTCATCAAGGACAGAGCAGAAGTCGTGGTAGGGTGAGGATGGTGAACGATAAATGCATTCCAGAACTATTTTTGTATCATTAAAACAAGAGCCATCAAATTCTAGCCATATAGATTCGCAGTTATCAATGGTAAGGGCTGAGTCATAGCGACGAATGTTGGTCATGTTATAGCGTACAAAAATGGCAGAGCCACCATGCCGGCTGTTAGCGTGGTGAGCGAATTCGGAGAGGTAACCTGGCAGTACAAACAGTACGTCATCTGATAATGACAACCAAGTTTCGAAAAGGCAGATGACAGAAAAACTATGATCAATGAATGTCATGAAGTCGATAAGATCGTCAAAATGTTTCGGTAAACTACGCGTATATAAGATCGTCAAAATGTTTCGGTAAACTACGCGTGTTGAGATGAACAAGCGAAAAATGAGACTTCGCGAAACGGTGTAACAGTTCCTTTGCCTGTTGAAAAGGGTAGAGAGCCATGAATCAGATATGCACTATTAGCCTAAGTTACGAAAAAGTAGACACATCACTGAGCTTGGAAATGTGGAAAACACGACTGTCAGTCTCCTTTCTGGCCTTGACCTGGAAATTATCAACCCACAAGAAGTGCCACTTTTTTTCTTTCTTTAGCGATAGTGCTTGAGCAAACAGGTGTTTATTTTCAGCGGTCAGATGGTCATTGACAAACACTGGTCTTTCCTGACGGGCAGTGAAACCGATGGCGCCTGTAGTAAGACGAGCTTTCTTTACCTTGTTTGCGAACTCTGCTTTTTTCACATGTGAGTGAAACCTGGCAATTATGTTTTTTTCATTCGGTCCGTTTTTAGTCGGCACCCGGTGAACAACATCAATGTCCGCGAAAGAGATAGCACAACCAACGCTTTCACCGATGCGCTGAAGAACTGCAATACAATCCTCACCCTTTGTAGTAGGCACATCTTTAATTTCAAGATTATTCTGGCGGGAATATTGCTCTAGGTCAGCAACTTGTTGGCTCAGTAACTCATTTTTTTGTTGAAGGTCCTTGTTTTCTTTCTGGAGAGATTCCTGTTTTTGTTCATGGTTTCAAAGAGATCATTGAAAAGGGAGAGGCTATTACGCAGCTCATCAACTTCTTTGCGCAATGCCTCTACATCCTTGGGTAAGACCTGTGTTAGCTGGCATCGTGAAAACAGTACACTCAAAGGGGCAGCAAATGTGCGGCAGCAATAAAACAATGTAAACCTATGACACAAGAATACAAATGAAACGAACCTGTGAAAACAGGAGATGTTTGTCAGGCACGTTGCAAATGCTGCCACGACCACTGCTGCCAAAATGAAGGGCGCCGCCGGAATCTTTGTCTTATGTAGTCGACACCGATGGGTAGGAGAAAAGGCGATGACATCGAAGATGATCGGTGATGCAGGCGATAGCCCGTGCTGTAGCTGCAGCGTCGCCGGGCAGCGCATGCAGAAATGTAGTATAGGGGGTGATCCTGTGAAAACAGGAGATGTTTGTCAGGTGCGTTTCAAATGTTGCCACGACCACTGCTGCCAAAATGAAGGGCGCCGCCGGAATCTTCGTCTTATGTAGTCCACACCGATGGGTAGGAGAGGAGATGATGACGTCGAAGATAATCGGTGATGTAGGCGATAGCTCGTGCTGTAGCTGCAGCTTCGCCGGGCAGCGCGTACAGAAATGTAGTATAGGGGGTGATCCTGCGAAAGCAGGAGATGTTTGTCAGGCGCATTGCAAATGCTGCCACAACCACTGCTGCCAAAAAATGGAGTGTTATGTTATCGTGTTTGTGCATTGCGGTGCTGACGCAGACGCGCTTCACTATCAGTGGCGACCCGGACTCGGACTGTTCGGCTTCGTGACGTCAATGCTCGGTGTGATAGTGGCTCGAGCATGTATACAAGCAACCGCCACTTTTCCTTCCTGGTTGTTGGATAGTTGGTTGTGTGACCAAATAAACATGTGTTGCACTTAGCCACGGTGTGCTGCCTGCCGGTCTCGCCCCTATTTAGACGAAGATATAACAGTTACGAATATTTAAATGAGAGATGAGTTATGTAATGTCGTGCGTATTTCTGTGGGTGATGTGGGAGAAAATTTTTTCTGCAAACGAAAAAGTGGGACTTATGTGTGCCACTGTTGCACAAAGGGTTAAAGATAAGAAGAGAGTGGAGTGGGTTGGGGAACAAACAGTGGTTAAGGATGTCATAGTTTAAATCAAGAAGAAATGGCATTGGGCTGGCCACGTTGCACGTAGACATAATAACTTCTGGTCATTAAAGGGGCCCTGCAACACTTCTTGAGCACGGTCAGAAAACGCTGCCGATCGGTAGTACAGGCTCCCGACAAAACGCGAGCCAAATATTATAGTGTAGCACGCGACTTGGAATTCGCAATAAATAATCAAATTCAACTAAAAATTGCTTTTTCTTCTCTCGACAAACGTCGAAACACGTTCAAAAATTACTCATAAAAGGCCATCTATCAGCCATTGGCTGATTTGAACATGGTGCGCTCGGTTGTTGGAGGGATTGTCGCGGGAGGCCGTGACTTGTCCACACGTGCCTGCGCGATCACACAGAAAAAGCTGCATATTCAAAGAAAAAAAAAAGCAAAAAGTGCTCAAGGTCATGAGGTACGCGTGACGTATTCTTTTTTTGCCTTTCCCATGCCTTCCTGCTTAGCTTACAGCACTTACATCGGGGCGAGAGAAGAGAGAATGCCATTGCAGCGTGCGGCAAATCTTTGTGACTCTGCTTGTACAGGTCGGATTCTTTAAATTTTCGCGGCGTTGATTTCATGATGCAATAAGCTCTTTTAGTAAATCCATTGTATGGTTACTTGAGAAAGTGTGTCAGGGCCCCTTTAAGGGTAACTGAGTGAATTCAAAGAGAAGGCAAGCGTGCGAGGGGGAGAGAGATGAGATGAAGAGGTTTGCAGATACGATGTGGCAGCAGAAGACATAGATTGGCGGAATATGGAAGAGGCCTTTGTCCTGCAGTGGGCGTAGTCAGGCTGGTAATGATAAAGATGATATGTTTATGCTCTCATGTAGCACATGATTGTATGGCTCCTTTACAGCCATCCCATCATGAAAAGCATTGGTCGAGGCTAACAGCACATGAAAAGACATGGCATTCTTTGGCCAAGACTGGCACCACGAAACCCCACTAATCATCAAATGACAGGAGGAACATGTTTTAAACATGGCTAGTAATCTCTGTGTGTGTGTTTTGTGCTATTTGCATGTCATCTCAGTGCCAGTTGTTTAGTGCCGGGAGCTGTACAATGTGAGCTTTTGTCAATGTTTGAATGGTGAAGTCACCAGGGACACTTGTATCTCATAATCCCCATCATGTTTGTATGAAATGGCGACATTTACCATCTTTTTTTAATGAACATGTGCTGTCAACTCTCTGCTAGCTGGGTGTAATCCTCCGGAAGAGATGGGGTTTAATTGGTACAGTTGAACTATTTTATGAGAGACCTGCTCCAGGGAGGAATTCTTGTCTTTCGTATGAGATGTCTCTTATAAGCAGGATAGCTTGTATGCTTTTCTTATCACCCCATATTTTACTGTAAGCACACTGGTGTCTGTTATACCCGTTTGTCTCCTATTTGTCTCCTATATCAGTTACTCTTATATAGGGGTTTGACTGTAATGGCTTAGGCTGCAGCACTGGGCATAGCGCGGAACTGAGCATATGACAGGAACTTTGAGCAAAACCTTTTTTCCCTCCAACTGGATTTGTTTTTTGCTTCTTCCAGCACAGTGTGCGGGGAGTGGTCTCCATGGCAAACAATGGGCCCAACACAAATGCATCACAGTTCTTCATCACATACGCCAAGCAGCCCCATTTGGACCAGAAGTACACAGTCTTTGGAAAGTGCGTACTCTGTTCTTGCTTTGTTTAAGTTTAATTATAGATCGATGTGCATTGTCAAGTGGAATCAAATGATGGGGCTTAAAGGAGTACGGACACTACCAGGAAGATTCTGTGGCACATGTGCAAGCCTGCCATCTGCAATGCAGTGTCTTGACCAGTCAACCCTAGGTTTCGACACTCATGCAGCTAAAGTGGCTGTTATAGTCCATAAACGGCAATTCATCTTTTTAACGTGCAATTAACAGAGCTACTGTTTTAGTGGCGTAGTGGCACGATAGCGTAGTGGTTAGAGCATCCGCCTCGCATGCAAAAGGTCCGTGGGTCAAAACCCGGTGCTGCGCAGTTCCCAACCGGATTAAAAAAAAATCCGCGTGGTGATGGAACTACATTAAGAGGCCTGGGGTGCGGCCTCACCAGTGACCACCGCCGGTAACGCCCTCCCTCACCAGAGAAGGATTGGCCACCCTGGTGCAGTATCTGGCCACTACCTCCCACATGCATACGTCAATTAACTCACGGCCCTCAGCCCCCAGCAACAGTGAAGCAACTGACTACGGTGGCGGTCAGATCTGCTACGCAGCAGAGGGTGCTAAGAATCTCTGGATCCGGACAGGCCGCCATTGGAACTTGAACTTGGCAACGTTTAACGCTAGAACCTTATCTAGTGAGGGAAGTCTAGCTGTACTATTCGAGGAGCTAGAGGGTGTTAAATGGTGTCTAGGGCTCAGTGAGGTTAGGAGGACAGATGAGGCATATACAGTGCTACAGAATGGGCACGTCCTTTGCCATGGGGGCTTAGCTGACAGAAGAGAACTGGGAGTGTGGCTCCTAATTCACAGAAACATAGCTGGCAACAAACATGAATACTATAGCATTAATGAAAGGGTGGTAGGGATCGTAATTAAACTGAATAAGAGATACAAGATGAAGGTGGTACAGGCTTACGCACCTACATACAGCCATGATGACGCTTCAGTTGAAAGCTTCTATGAAGACGTGGAATCGGCAATGAGTAAAGTAAAAACACAGTATACTATACTGATGGGAGACTTTAATGCAAAGGTAGGGAAGAAGCAGGCTGGAGACCAGGCAGTAGGAGATTATGGCATCGGTACTAGAAACGCCAGAGGAGAGCTACTAGTGGAATTCGCAGAACGCAATAATTTACGGATTTTGAATACCTTCTACCAAAAACGGGGAAACCGCAAGTAGATATGGAGGAGCCCTAATGGCGAAAATAAGAACGAAATAGACACCCAGGCATCGTGCAGGATGTGGAAGGGGTTGGCAAGGTACGATGCAGTGACCATAGAATGGTACGGTCTCAAATTCGCCTATACTTGAGAAAGGAACGACAGAAACTGATACGCAAGAAGCCAATCAATGAGCTAGCACTGAGAGGGAAAGTACAGGAATTCAGAGTCTCACTTCAGAACAGGTACTCAACTCTTGGTGAGGAAAGCAACCTTAGCATAGATACAAGGAATGATAATCTGACGAGTATCATTACGGAGTGTGCAGTGGAAGTTGGAGGCAGGGTAGTTAGACAGGACACTGGCAAGCTTTCCCAGGAAACGAAGAAGCTCATTAGGAAGCGTCAAATCATGAAAGTCTCAAGTACTACAGACAAAATAGAACTGGCAGAGCTTTCGAAGTTGATTAATAGGCGTAAGGTATCCGACGTAAGAAGGTATAACATGGAGAGAATTGAACACGCTCTGAAAAACGGAGGAAGCGTCAAAGCAGTGAAGAAGAAACTTGGGATAGGCAAAAATCGGATAGGCGAAAATCAGATCCCTTGTGACATTGTAGGGGCCTCACACTACATGTCTACTCAGCCGTGATATACCATTCTTGCTGATCCACCTCCAGACGTACGTCTCGGTTGCCGACCATACGGCTCAAGCCGTTTGCCTTCTTCTCAGCGCCGACCAATTTCTCCATTGTTACATCACAACAGCCCACTGCAAGGGGAAAACTGACGGGCACAGTTTCGGAGGCAAGAACTACGTTGGCGGCGAAAATTTCAAGACCTAACTGCTGTCCCCCGAACGAAATCGTACTCTATATTGATGGCATTAAGGTGCACGGACTTGTTGACACTAGAGCTGCCGTATCCATAATTAGCGAGAAACTCTGCCAAAACTTGAAGAAAGTGACCACTTGGCTTACCAACCTATCTTTGCAGATGGCTACGTCCCACCATGTTCAGCCTTCAGCTTTGTGCACTGCCCGAGTCGTCATTCAAGGTGCGATGTACATCGTGGCCGTTGTAGTTTTATTCTGTTCTTCGCATGACATTATTCTTGGGTGGGACTTTCTTTTGTCAAATTCTGCTTTGGTCGACTGTGCTCATTCTGAACTCGCGTTATCTGTGCCGTGCTATGACTCCAATGATGGCGCTTCGTGTAACTTTGTGTAGAGCGTTTTCTGCTTCTGACGTTGACATTGCACCTTTTTCAGGTGGTGTTGTCCCGGTGTTGTGTGCCTCTTTTCTGAAATCGCCTGTGTTGGTCATGCCATCTTTCACTTCTGCGTGCCATTGAAATTTTATGCTTCCGTTTGCTGTCATCACTTTCTGCAACGATCACACTGCCATTTATGTATGCGATCTCTCGGACAGCCCGTCATCCCTACTACGTGGAGAATGCCTGGGAAGGTACAAACTTTTTGAGTGCATTCTTCCAGATATCATACCCGATTCTACGGTTTCGCTCCCAATTTGTGTAACGCGCCTAATGATCTTCTGGATCTCTTCTCGAATGCCATCGACTCCGAGGTCGCACCAACTCAGCGCCAAGAGATCATAAATCTTCTACTCTGTTCTCGCTCTTCATTCGATCGTGGCCAGTCAGGCTTATGCCGAACCTCCACAGTCGTTCACCCTATTGTCACTAGTCAACAAGCCCCGCTAAGACAAGGTCCGTACCGTGTGTCATCTGCTGAACCCTGTGTCATTGACGAACAAGTGGATGACATGTTGAAACGTGCCATCATCGAGCCCTCCAACAGTCCCTGGGCTTCACCGTTAGTTCTCGTCAAGAAAAAAGACAGATCCATTTGGTTCTGTGTTGACTACCGCCGACTCAACAAGATAACACGCAAAGACTTATACCCTCTACCTTGCATCGATGATGCTTTGGACTGCCTACAAGGAGCAGAGTTTTTTTCTTCATTAGATTTACACTCCGGCTACTGGCAGGTGTCCATGGCAGAGGATGACCGCCCGAAGACAGTCTTTGTAACACCGGATGGACTATATCAATTCACCGTTATGCCTTTTGGACTGCAATGCGCCTGCCACTTTTGAAGAAATGAGGGATACCATTCTGTGAGGTCTGAAATGGAAAACATGCCTCTGTTATTTGGACGATATTGTGGTATTTTCTAGCGACTATGCGACCCACCTCAGCCGCCTCGACCACATTCTTACGTGCCTTTCCACGGCGAGACTTCAACTTAATTTGAAGAAATGCCACTTTGATGCACGCAAGCTTGTAATTCTCGGCCATTTGGTTTATAAGGACGGCATTCTTCCGGACTCTATAAAACTTGATGCAGTTGCAGCGTTCTCAGAATAATCCACCATCAAAGAGCTCCGAAGCTTCATCGGCCTATGCTCGTACTTCTGGCGCTATGTCTGCAATTTCATCTCCATTATTGCCCCCTTGACCAATCTTCTGACTGGAAGTTCTGGTTTATCAGCGTCGTTGCAGGCGTGTGACGATGCATTTGGCGAACTCCAACGGCTCCTCACTATGCCTCCCATACAGTGATACTCCGAAATTTCTATTCGTCTGTTCCAATAGAGCTTCATACGAACGCTAGTGGCATTTGGCTGGGGGCCATACTGGCCCAACGAAAGGATGGCTTTGATGAGTATGTCGTTGCCTATGCTAGCCGCACCCTCACCAAAGCCAAGAAGAATTACAGTGTCACTGAAAAGGAGTGCCTCGCCATTATTTGGGCAATCGGAAAATTTCGGCCTTATTTATATGAACGTTCGTTTGATATTGTGACAGACCACCATACGCTTTGCTGGGTTATCTTCACTAAAAGATCCTGATGGTCGGATCGCTCAGGCATTGTGGTTACAGGAATTGGACATCCATGTTATCTACCGTTCTGGCCAGAAGCCTTCCAATGCCGATGCCCTGTCACGCTCGCCATTAGCTTCAGAGCCTGTCTGCTCGTGTATCTCTACCAGTACTGCCTTGGCCATCAGCATTTCTGACATGCCTTCTGAACAATGCAAAGACGCTTGGATTTCTTCCCTTTTGGACTTTCTGTCCAACTGGACGCCTGCTCCAGTTTCCAGGACACTTCGCCACCTAGCACAACACTTCGCTATTCAGGATAACCTACTTTACCGCCGAAACTACAGCTCGGTCGGCTGTAAGTGGTTGCTTGTCATTCCCCGACATCTCCGCTCTGACATCTGCGCCACGTTTTACGACGACCCGCAATGTGGCCACGCCAGTGTGTTAAAAACACACACTTGCTTGTAGCTGCGGTACTACTGGTTCAGTATGTACCGTTTCGTTCTTCATTAAGTAAGGTCTTGCCCTATGTGCCAGCGACGAAAGATGCCCCCTCAACATACCTCAGATCCCTTGCAGCCGTTACCATGTCCAACACAAGCTTTCGACCGTGTCAGAATAGACCTTTACAGTCCGCTTTCCTATACTCCAAGTAGCAACCGCTGGGTCATTGTCGCTATCGACCATCTTACGCGGTACGCTGAAACAGCTGCGTTACCTTCTGGTGTAGCAAACGACGTTGCATGTTTTATATTGCAAAATCTGGATTTAAATCATGGAGCACCTCGGGAGTTACTAAGCGACTATGGCCGCCTTTTTATCTCTGATGCCATTAAAGCGTTGTTGAGCAAGTGTCGCATCATACACCGCACTACCATGGCTTATCACCCGCAAATTAATGGGATGCCAGAGCATTTTAATCGTACAATTGGTGATACCCTGGCTATGTATGCTTCATCG